CTGCGAGTATGGCGTTGGGATGTGGTATGGTCGAATCATGTTGTGCGTCATCTGCTTGTTCTGGGAAGTGTCACTTTCTTGCAATTGTTTACATGGCTCACTGCGCTGAAATTTCTTGGAGCTACAAATACTTTATTGTACACACAGTTCTGTGAAGTTTGGATGCGCGATCTCCAAGTCAGGCACCGCTGGAATACATCAGGGGGGTTTTTTGTTTTACTTTCGATGGCTTTCGCCTTCGTCATTGCTACTCTAACGCATTCAATCGTATCGCTTCGACAGCCCTATGCTGATATGCTCGAATCGGTGACATTTCAAACTCTCTCTCTTACAGCCAAGTTACAGGACCACATATCTCTATGGGAGACTTTTAAAGGCTTCCTAGCGCTGATTGTATATGCGATTCTCTCTGTTGAAACGGGTTATTTGATGTCCAATACAGCGAAAGAAGTTGGTGGTCGACGCCGGGCGATGGTCCTGGCGATTTCTTTAGTCGCCACAATTTTATTACCTATCTCAATGCTTGGTGCCATTTTCGGTGTCAAAATGCTTCCAGCACCTTTCGTGCCGGGCCGAAACCCAACGCAACAAGATGCATTAGAAATCAACCATTTGGCTGCGTATTTGGTTCTTGCGCTGGGCTTCTTGGTATTTGATGTCCTTGTGACACTTACACTCGAGTCCTACGTAACTTTGATGGTGCATATTGCTCATGCCTGGCCGATGGTGGTATGTGCCGCGATGGCCATTGGCTTTGCTGTATTCAATGTCAACGTGAGTCTGGTCCAAGTGATGTGCGTTATCTCTGTGGGCTTTGCATTACGAGCTATATTACGCCGTTCGCCTTTGTACATGACATCTTGGTATCGCAAAGCTACCGTGGAGGAGCAGCGTGTGGCCATGGCAGGTGTTGAGTCCGATACAACGCTACTGACTGATTTTGTGATCATGACTTACCGTTTAGTCGTTCAAGTACGCCACATGATCAAAGTCATTTTAAGCAATAATGAATCTCGGCGTATTTTCCTGTTCTTGTGTTTAAACCTCGCATTCATGTTTGTTCAGTTGGTTTGGGGTGTATGGACGAATAGTCTTGGGTTGATCAGTGATGCCATTCATATGTTCTTCGACTGTGCAGCGATTTTCATGGGTTTGATGGCTAGTGTCATGGCATCGTGGAAGACCAATAAAGACTTTCCCTTCGGGTATAAGCGCGTCGAGACGCTGTCTGGTTTTGCCAATGGAGTTTTCCTTGTGCTTATCAGTGTGTTTATTTTGTTCGAAGCTGTACAGCGGATTATTGAGCCGCCAGTAATGAACAATATGGCCCAACTCTTGATTGTCAGTACTCTCGGTCTTTTGGTCAATCTATTTGGCATGTTTGCCATGGGACATCATCACCATGGCCATTCTCATGGCTGCAGTCATTCTCATGAACACCACCATGGTCACTCTCACAATATGCTTGGCCTTTACCTCCACGTTATGGCAGATACCCTTGGATCTGTGGGCGTTATCATCAGTACCATCTTGATCCACTATTTTCATTGGACAGGTTTTGACCCTATCGCGTCTCTTCTTATTGGAATCATGATCCTCGGTTCAGTCGTCCCGCTTGTGATTGATTCGGGGCGCATATTGTGCCTTGAATTAGACAATAACGATCATGAGGCTTTGCAGCTTGCGCTCGAAAAAGTCGAGGCTCATCCTATTGTGTCGGCATATTCTAGTGCACATTTTTGGCCATTGGACGGTGAGACCATTGTTGGCACCATTCACATTCATTATGATACCCTTCTAGCTTCTGATGCGTCTTCTCTTGTGGATCCTTCCACATTGACTCTGGAAGTAAAACAAATTCTGCATTCCTATTTACACTCCCTTGAGGCCGTTCATGTACAGTTACACCCTGCAGGACAAAAAATCTTTAGCTAACTAAATTTATCTTATTTCCATTGCCATAAAAAATATACGTATGTTCGTATGTTAATTCGATGAGCGAACCAAGTCTTTGCTCATTGTTCGCTGTAGAGGCTGAAGAGCTTAGTGTATTAGTGTGTGCATTTCTAGCGTTAATACTCTCCGCAAATCTACGCACAAGATTTTAAAGATTTATTTGCAAAATTGCACGAATGACTGCCTCTACCTAGAACTAATGTGCTTTGTGTACTACTGCAACCTGGTTCCTGTTGACGCGTCAGAGAGCCGACGCTAGCACAGCCCTGGGTTATTCTTTTGCCCTATCATGGGCATTGTTCAGATCAAAATTAACTTGAAAACAGTTCTATTGCGTGATGGGACAACACGCATAATTAATAAGCCATACCGAACTGATGCTTACCAAAAGTCAATACAAAGCGATTTATACATCGTAGCTGGGCTAACAAGGTCCGTGCTGGGATGAAACATGATGGCACCACGGGCACAAACCCACCATCAGACACTCAAACAAGCTCTCTAATGAGTAGTCCTATGTCTTTCTATGTAAGAGCGAAATATGATTTCCGGCCCAATGAAGCCAATTTGCTTAGCTTTCAGGCCGGTACTCTGATTGAAGTACTTGGGCAGTTAGAGTCTGGCTGGTGGGATGGCCTGTTAGATCACAATACACGGGGATGGTTTCCATCCAATTATGTTGACATCATCTCACAGGAATCTGGAATGGTGCAGTTTTCTCGTGCATGCATTTGCCCTAAGAGCCCTATGCTGTCGATATCTTCAGGGTCAACGGAATCGACAGGCTCCAGTGGATGTGATCCGAATTCGGGAATCAATGCCATGTGTCACATCAATGCATTCGTTCAGGAACTTCAACAGCTGATTCAAGTTTCACAGATCCCGATACGTGAAGATTGGGCTCAAACGAGTAGGCAGCAAACGGTACCTAAATTGAAAGACGGTATGGCTGAACTGGCCCAGGCGATGCACCAAATTGATGAGATCGTTACCCAAATTTCAAAGATGGATTTGGAGACATCATCATCGCACTCTGGCTCATCTTTATCAAATGTTGTGCTGACGAATTTACCAAAAAATCTTTCAAGTCAGCTTCCCGTACTCGGTGTTCGAGTTCATATGCTCTTAAAATACCTGCAAGACTCAACCCAGATTCTCATTGCCCATTCTGAATATGCAAAGGAACAGGTACATTTTGAGAAATCGGCTATAAATTTTATTGATTCGCTGGAGCTGCTCGAGCAAGAGCTTCGCGACGATCAAAGATTTGTACCATATGTCAGGTTGGAGTCACCCGAATCGATGGAAGAACGTTCATTTGAACAATTGCACAATTCTGAAGCGGCAGAGTCAAGCTCCTTGTCAGCTTCGATACCAAAAATCGGCGCATTGGTAAAGTACCCATCATTCGGTCGATCCTCCGCTTCAGAAATAATGTCAGCATTGAAGCGTTTTTCTCCCGCCAATGGCAGCGATGGCAAGTCTGAATTGTCTATGAGCTCATCGTCTACAGCTAACAGACGTGTCCCTCTTGTGAGTAACAACTTATCATCAACAAATTCGATGACTGGAAGCGAAATATCGCCAGGAGATATTGTATTCACAGACAGTGGCACAGTGAAAGGTGGAACTTTGGAAGCCCTCGTAATCCAGCTCACTCGACATGATGCATTCGATACGAAGTACACATCGACTTTTTTGATGACATATCGTTCGTTCACAACAAGTGCGAGGCTCATGGAACTCTTGATAGACCGATTTCATCTTGAGATTCCATCAGATTTGGAAGAATCTAAATTTCAGCAATGGGAAGAGTTGAAGCGAACTCCTGTACAGCTTCGTGCGGTAAATGTTATGCGTTTATGGCTTGAGTACTTTTGTGACGCTGATGATGAGAAGGCGCTAGACCTTGTTGAAGCTTTCGCGAATAATGCACTTATTTACCGTCATGTGAGCGGCATGCGAGGAATGCTCATGCGACTTATTAGACGTTGCCGCCAGGGCTCAGGCAACCTCAATCGTAAAATGATGCAACCAAAAATGCAGCCTAAACCACTTCTCCCTGCAAGTCTATCGCAGTTGCGCTTTCTTGATATCAGCCCCATCGAGCTGGCTCGACAGTTGACATTGATGGAAAGCGAGACATTTTTCCGGATTAAGGTGCCAGAATGTGTGAACAAAGCTTGGACTGCTTCTGATGCACGACATCGAGCAAATGGCGTTGTAAATGTAATTTCATTGCATAACCATATAACAGGCTGGGTAATTGAAACCGTTCTCAATGAAGAGAATGTGTCTCAACGTGCCGCTATTACCAGTCATTTTATTGCGATTGCAAATTATTGCTATCAAATCAATAACTTTTCCACTGCATGGGCGATTTCTTCTGCTCTCAATTGTGCATCTATTTATCGACTCAATGCAACTTGGGCTCTGGTGAGCAGAAAAGTTCTAGACATTTTTTCTGAAATCAATCAAATTATACAGCCCACCAGGAATTACAGTCGATACCGGGATTTATTGGATCGCGTAAATCCTCCATGTGTTCCGTTTTTCGGTTTGTACACAAAGGACCTTACATTTATCGAAGATGGTAATCCAGATTCATTGTATTCTGATTCACGTTTGATCAACTTTGCCAAACGTTCATTAACAGCAGATGTTCTCTACGAAATTAGGAGATTCCAGTTCGTTCCGTACAATTTTGTTCGCGTGCCTTCGCTCTTTGAGTTTTTGGACTCACACTTCAAGCCTCGCATGAGTGATGAGGAGCGATATGAACGCAGTCTCAAACTGGAACCCCGCCAGTCCCCCTTACCTTACGGTGGTAACTACCATCGACACGATTTCATCTCTTATGATATGATGCCTGACGAATACTTTATGAAACGTTCGCAAGAGAATGGATTTATGTAAATGATACCAGCATACCGCAGGAAACGATAGTTATATACCCTCAAATTCATTGCAACAAATTCAAAATGATCAGTGCAATTCACTGCAGCTTAAGTAAGGAAAAAGTTACATGTGGGAGCGAGAAAAATCTTCCGCGCCGGGAATTGAACCCGGGTCTGGGCCGCATCCAAATGACAAGGCCCCGTCATAACCACTAAACTACGCAGAACTTATACACTGAGGGGAAAGCGGGCAATATAAGTTATGGGATATTCACGTTGCTCGGCTTCAGCATGTCCTTCGTTTGCCTAGAGAAATCTTGCAGCTCTGGGTCTAGAGCAAATGACGGCGCTTTTAGAAGGCATTGTAAGAAAATTTGCGCATCACAAAAAATAGATGTTTGCTTTATCAGGTGCACTTGGTTCAAAGCCTGAATGAGCCACCACTTTAACCACAAACATCGATGTGTCATGCGAAACATGGTAATGGAGGGCGATGTCGAGCATTTACACCGTTCTAGGAATGGACACGGAATATTCAGTATGGCTGTAAGTTTTTTAACGTCCACTTGTTTCGAGTCGATGTGCAAGAACTGTGCTGGAGCACGGGCATCAACATAAAGCATATACAAGTATGTGAAGCAAATGTCTTTGTATATAGGCAAGTGCTGTGCCATATTGCACAGAAGCGATAAAGATGAAAAGCATAGAGTCTGGAGCTGGATAGCAGCAGACTGTCGAATGGTAGATGCGTGAGTGGCACACAGTGGTTGCGACAAAAGACCTAAAATTTGGACTGTGACGCTCGTACGCTCTTCCAGCAGAGATAAAGAATCCTGTGAAGATATTGCTGAATGCTCGAAAGAAAAGGCCGCTTGAAGCATTTTCGTTAGATACTTTGCGTCCGTACCCAAGAAGGCAGTGGTGCCGGTATCTTTCCACACGGCTAGCAGGACATTTAAAGTACGCCATGCGCCTTGAGTCATGTAGCGAGCTGATCCGTCGCCTTCATGCTCATCCACCTCGTTATTGTGTAGTGCGTCGTCAAATGGACTCATCCAAAATTCATGAACACGTAAGGGAAAGGGACTTTCACGATCTGCAGCGTGAGTCGGTTCGCGAAGAAGCAAGTCCCAGATCGATTCGAATCCATATAATGTAGCATTATCTGCCCAGAATGCGAGCGGTGTACTCGCATAGAACGTTGTTGTCTCGATGTGCTGCTTTTGTTCCTGCCATTGTTTAGTGCCATCCCCGTTTGTCAAACTACATGGCATCCAGTGAACCTGGTCAACGCTCAATGGAGCCAAATCAAGAAGCAGCTCCCTTGCGATACCCACAGAAGTTGATGTTGGTCTAGCATAGACCTTAGTTGTGCGCTGCGGCATATGTAGAGAGGAATCATGAATTTGAGGTGGTGTACACTCTTCGGTGCAGAGACTCAAACACAGCAGTCGGCGCAAGATAGATGCTGGTGGTCGCAGTGAGCATGAATACGTCTCGGCTATAAGCTGCACAGCTGTGTCATACTGCTCCTCGTCGAGATAATCGTCAACGAGTTGTGCCAGCAGTGCCCCTGCTGAGGGCTTTGTCATGCAACGACGTGCGAAAATGGGCCGTTTTTCTTAAAATAGATTCGCGGACTTGCTTATGTTGTCAGCGACTGACACTGCCAAAGAGGGCTCTGTGCATCCGACTTAGGGGCAGTGCGAACGACTGAAGCGCTTCTCCCTGACAAGCAATAGCATGTCAGCTATCACATACGAGGCTCCATGTACGTGTTTCGGCAAGCTGTGGCTAATATGCAGGGCCTGTATACGCACTGGCGTGGTCCAACTCGCACCCTTCGACGGACTCAAATGGGTACGTCCCTTTATGCTAACAAAAAAGCGAACCGTCAAGACAACTCCCGCCCAATGCGCGGCTAGCTGTTGGAAGTTTTAAAGAAGAATACAATAACCGTCTTCAGGTCCTTGGCATGCCTCATAATCTTGACGGATCTTCAGATATGGAAGTCCTAGCAGATGTTTTGCATCCATATCCTGCTACGAAAATTGGCTTCCAGCCCACGAATGACCTACAGAGAACGGAAGCAGAGGAAAAATCACAGGATGTTGACTGGTCTGGTCAAGCTGACATATCTGAAACCAGCCAAAACATATCCAGCACTTTTAGCACAACGTCTAATCCCGACGAAACATCCGACTTGATACAGGCAGATCCGTATCCTGACAGTGAGCTGCTTGCTAGCTCAGCAGACTGTCTTCATGTGTGGGAGATGGAAAGGAATGCAGATGTCTCTGACTTGTATGATGCCATGTCGCTGCGACCGAGCCTATCGAGCAAGAAACGCACCTCTGGTCATCGGTTTGTGCTTAAAGAGAAGTGTGCTCTCGCGCATGCTAAAAGCTCTCTTTCACCACCTGCACCACTCACCTCCTTTTCCTGGAATGCCCCCTCACCCAACCTTATCGTCACATCGTCCATCGATACTACATGCACCATTTGGGATTTACCTTCTCGGACCGCTCTCACTCAGCTTATAGCGCATGATCGCGAAGTTTATGATGTGGATTGGTGCCCTGGAAGTGCGGATGTATTCGCTTCTGTAGGTGCCGATGGAAGTGTCCGTGTCTTCGACCTACGAAATTTGGAGCACTCTACTATCATTTATGAGACAAGCATGCAGCCGCCCTCCTCATCAGACCGTCAAAACAGTGCATACACATCCTCTTCTGGCATGAACGTGCCACTATTACGGATTGCTTTTAACCCATGGGATGCAAATTATCTTGCTACGTTTCAACTTGAGTCCAACACGGTGCAAATTCTCGATGTACGCGCACCCGGCAGTCCTATTCTTGAGCTGAGCGGACACAGTGGCCCCGTTAACAGTGTAGCTTGGGGTCCACCCAGCCAGAATACGCTGCGAAATGGACCTAGTAAGGGCATGATATGTACAGGAGGCGACGATGCTCAGTGCCTCGTATATGATCTGACAAGCACAACTCTTCGAACAGCATCTGCTCAAGGACGGCGCTCTCGAAACAGCCCGTATAAACAAAGCCATTCACCGGGAATAGACGGATGGCGTGTCGGCGCAGAAGTGCCCGTGCTCGCTTATACGGCCTCGTCTATGGTCAACAATGCTTGCTGGCTTGGCATGCCTGCGCCGTCAAAACGCACATCACTGCAGAGCAAACACCGCAGCCTTTACCGCAGCTTACTCAGTGAGTGGACTGAATATACGTCCTCGACATCCACATCCAGCGGCACCGACTGGCTGGCTCTATGTGCTGGCCAGGCGGTCAAGATTTTGCGCGTATAGATCCCTTACGTAATAATGATCATCGGGTCACTCGGCGTTAGCCACGCGTCGACCTAAATTAGAAATTCGCGCGACGCTGTTCCTTGTCAGCAGCATGTCTGGCTTTGATGCAGGTCGCGTGTACTCAACGCAGGCCGTTGCTGTATCGTCCACAGCACAAGCACCCGACGCGCCTGTGCAAAATGAGACAGCCTTATTCGAGTTTGTCCAGAATTTCCGACTAGGTGCCGAATACATTTATCGTGACCGGCTTCGATCCAACCTGCTTGTGAAGCAGTATGTGCTTGATGTACAGCTCGAGCACATCCAGATGTGGAGCCCGCATCTTGCGCAGGCTCTCCGCGAGACGCCTGCTGAAATTCTGTCGCTATTCGAGGCGGCTGTCAAGCGTGCCGCGCGTCTTCTTTTGTACCCCGTGAGCGCGGGCACAGAGCGTCCTGAAGCGCCTGATTGTCAAGTGACGCTTCGATCCTCGGCAAATTTGATGGCAATGCGGGACTTACATGCGGAAAACATATCACGACTTGTTCGCATTCCAGGTATCGTCATTAGCACGTCGGTGCCATCGTCGCGCGTCACACATCTGCATCTCATGTGCCGGGACTGTCGAGCTGTAAAGACCATTCTCGTATCATCTGGATTTGGTGGGTTCGTCTTGCCGCGGCAGTGTGATGCCCCCAAAGTTGATCCTAGTTTAAAGTGCAGTGTGGATCCTTTTGTTATTTTGCATGAACGATGCCTGTTTGTGGATGCCCAAACGATCAAGTTACAAGAGGCGCCGGATATGGTCCCAGTGGGTGAACTTCCACGACACATGCTCTTATCTGTCGATCGTGCGCTATGTGGCAAGGTCGTACCCGGTGCGAATATCATCGCCACGGGCATTTTCTCAACCTTCTCAAGCAGTCGGGGCGGCTCAACGCCGAATGCCGTGGCGCTTCGAACACCATATCTGCGCGTTGTAGGACTGGAAGTGGATGCTGGTGGCGTGAGCGGACGAGGCGTATCGCGTGTATTTACAGCTGAAGAGGAGGAGGAATTTGGACGCATGTCCAAGTCGCCAGACTTGTACGAAAAGTTTTCTGCCAGTATTGCGCCGAGTATTTTCGGCAGCAACGACATCAAAAAAGCCATTACCTGCTTACTATTTGGAGGATCCAAGCGTGTGCTTCCTGATGGTATGCGTCTTCGTGGTGATATCAACGTGTTGTTACTGGGTGATCCCGGTACAGCTAAAAGTCAATTGCTCAAGTTTGCAGAAAAAGTCGCGCCTATCGCAGTATATACCAGTGGAAAGGGCAGCAGTGCAGCAGGTCTGACAGCATCTGTCCAGCGTGATGCAAACTCCCGCGAATTCTTCCTAGAGGGCGGCGCGATGGTATTGGCCGACGGTGGTGTCGTATGTATTGATGAATTTGATAAGATGCGGGACGAGGACCGTGTCGCGATCCATGAAGCCATGGAACAGCAGACTATTTCGATTGCTAAAGCGGGTATCACGACGGTCCTCAACTGCCGTACATCCGTGCTGGCAGCGGCAAATCCTGTATGGGGCCGTTACGACGACCTCAAATCCCCTGGTGAAAACATTGATTTTCAGACGACCATTCTGAGTCGGTTTGATATGATCTTTATTGTCAAGGACGAACATAACGAGTCGCGGGACCGAACGATTGCAAAGCACGTTCTTGGAATCCATATGCACGGCTCCACTGACCAGACCGACGCGGAGGGTGAGATTGACCTGCAGCGCATGAAGCGCTACATTGCTTATTGCCGTGCGCGGTGTGCCCCGGTTTTGACGAACACCGCTGCTGAGAAACTGTCGAGCCACTTTGTCGCAATTCGAAAGCAGGTTGCACAAATGGAACACGATCATGACGAGCGCTCTGCCATTGCCAT